CAAAGAAGTGGTAAATGCTCCATTCCTGGCAGTGTTCACGGCCCGGTTGGACAGAGTCTTGGGTGACACAGTCTAGTGTGAGGCACCCCTGTCCATGGCACGGGGTTGGAACTAGATGATCTTAAGGTCCTTTCCAACCCTAACTATTCTGTGATTCTATGATACACAGTAAAGAAGGGCATGCCAAAGAGCTGCCCTGGCTGCCCAGGGCACCTGTCTAGCAGCCCCCAGCCATGGTGACAACTTAGCTTACCAAAAAACATAAGCCCCACAATCCCATCAAGCTGCACCCACTAGCTGGGTGTCTCACCCCTGAAGCTCCTGCCTGTGTGCCCACTGGCCCTGGACAGTGCTCACCTGTACTGCAAAGATGGCAGCTACTGGCTTGTGATCGCTGACTGTGTACTCCATGTGGCTGCAGTAGCAGAGCTGGCTCACCGAGAGGACACCCCGGCTGGGCCGGTGGCCACCTGTTCCAAGCCCAACACTGGGAGATTTGATCTTCCAGAGGATGCGGTCAGTCCAGGCAGGTTTCCGCTTCTTGGCACTGCAGGGCACAGAGGGGCATCTCTTGCCTGGCAGGGGCCAGTGGGCTCCACCCCAAACTGCCTCCCCCGGCACTACCGCACGCATGGGCAGGGGGGACAGCTCATCTTGGCACACAGCTCAGTGCAGCTGCAGGGACAGACCTGCACTGGCACCAGCACAACAGCTGTGTCCCAGCCTGCCAGTCCCAGCCCACCCCACCGCCATCCATCTGCACCAGCATCAGCCCCTGTCCTACCAGCACATGCCCTGGCTAGCATCCATGCCCCACCTTCATCCCTTGGCCATGCCACCTGCTCCCAGGCCCAGCACACACCTGAGTTCTGCAATCCTACCTGCTGTCATATTTATTGGTGCCTACATCAAACTTGAAAGTGGGTGGGAAGTTCAGGGGGCCCTCCTGAAAACCGCTGAGGACAGGCCAGGTGCTCTTGGCAATGTTCAGCTGTGGGAAAGAGAATAGGACCACATCAGCCCCTACAGCCAGACCCCTCTGCAAGCCCCCCAGACCTCTCCACCCCTAGCACACTCATCCCTGCCCCACTGCTGCCAGCCCTCCCCCGCCCCCAGCTCTCAGGGTTTGTCCATGCCATGCAAGCAGCAAGTCTGTAGGGCCCCAGCTCTTCCTAGCACACTGCTAAAGGAAGCATGTGCCCAGCTCCCATAAAGACCATCCTGGGACTGTGTTGCCCTTTCACCAGAGAACCAGGACCTTCTGTGCCCCATGAGCAGCAAGGGCACATGCCCTGCCAAAACTGCCCATGCAGCTGTGGGACAAGAGCCAAGTGCCACACAGTGCCTGGCCGAGGCTCTGCAGTGTGCACATCCCTCTCACCTGGTCCTTCTCCCAGAGCTGGCTCAGGATGTTGCTGTCAATGGCATACTTCACAAAGCGGATGTCGAGGCTCTCGATGCGGAAGTTGAGGTCCCCAAACCAGAACACGAGGCTGCAGGTGGGAGGAGGGCAATGGGCTGGAAGGGCTGAGACTATCACTGCTGGCAGCACAGCAGGGGAGAAATACCCTGTGGGCAGCCTCAGCCTGTGGCACAGGTGCTCCCAAGAGCACCAGTACAGGTCAGCACTCTCCGACAGCTTGGCCAGCAGCCAGGCCTGTCAGGGTTACCCAGCTAGGACCAAGAACCATTAACCAACATGCCCACCTTCCCTGAACATTGATGGTGGAAATTTCCACAGTGGGTCACCTACTGAGTTGGAATGCATGGCCAAGACTGGGTCAGAACCAGGCCCTCCACCTCACCACTTCCAAACCCCAACAGGGAGCTGCTCCATGCCTGCTGTGCTTCAGGGGAGACCAAGGATCTCTCTTAACACCTACTCCAACATACTGGGCTGCTGCTGGACCATGGGGCAGTTTTGCAGCCCTGCAGGCAAAACCCCATCTCCATGCTGTGCTGGGATTGAGGGAGTAAAGGACAGGAGCTAGAGCCCTGGCCCAGACTGGGGAGCAAAGTGGTGGGGTACGCACTCATGGTCCAGGATGCCGCTGGCTGCATGCCCCTCAAACTGTTGCATGTGCAGTATGGTGGCAAAGTCCTCCTTGCGCTGCTCTGCCTTCTCCAGATGTGCTGGCAGGTGGCAGTTCAGGAAGCAGACCATGTGGCCGAAGATGGAGAGACGAACACTCACGCCACCCTTGTTGCCCTGCACCAAGAGGATCCTGTGACTCCTTAGGAAGCCAGCCCCTCAACACCTCCCCTAGGGCTACACTCACCCAGTAGCCTCCCAGCCCTGTCCTCGTGCAGTCTGTCTGGATGTCCTGCAGAAAGGGGAGGTGGTAGTACTTGGCAAATACCAGTAGGATCACACCTTGCATCCGAACCGTGCTGACCTGGAATGCGGGCAGAGGCTGAAGCAGGAGGGTAGCCACAGCAGAGGTCCCCCACCTACACGCCATAGGAGAAGAACCTCCATCCTTTGCATGCTCCCTATCTTGCAGATGACTAATAGCACATTTTGTTCAGATTATTAACACCCTCCTGAATAGAATCATGTAATGGTTTGTGTTGAAGGGACCTTAAAGCTCCCCCAGTTCCAACCCCTGCCACGGGCAGGGACACCTTCCACTAGAGCAGGTTGCTCCAAGCCCCTGTGTCCAACCTGGCCTTGAACATTGCCAGAGATAGGGCAGCCACAGCTTCTCTGAGCAACCTGTTCCATACTGACAGCTGAGATAAGCCCAGCAATGCCAAGGCCCTTGTATGCTCTGGGGCAAGCACCCTGGGGAGTTGAACCTGCCCTGGGACCTGCAGGCTGCTGCCAGCAGCACAGGCTTGTTCCCACATTCACTTCCTCGCGTTGGTGCGATGAAGCAGGCAGCAAATATCTCCAAAGCCCCACAGGGGAAGCCTAAGGTGCAGGAAAGGGAGCAGGGTGGCAAAAGCTAGAAAGCACGCTGGTGAGACACACCTCTAGCCCTCAGGTTAGCCCCCACATGCTGCCTGGATAGCTGCAGGCTGTCCTGCCAGCATTTTGTGCTTTCCCCACCGCAACTCCTCCGTTCATCCCTGCCGTCGAACTCTCCCTATCTGCGGTCTACCTGCCTAGCAGGCAGAGAGGGAACACCAGCTGCCCAGTCCCTTTGGGAACTCCTTACCAGGACAAAGTGGAAGGGGCTCAGCACATCCATGAAGAGCTCACTCCACTGATCTGTGAAGAGGGCATCCTTCAGGCGCTTGTTTATCTTAGAGTTCACCTCTTGCAGCCTGGGAGGAAAGGGACAGGTCCCACAGCCACACCAGGAAAGTGTCTATGTCCAAGCTAGCAAGAGCTCCTTAGGAGAGGTGCCAAAGCATAGTGCTGTGGAGCAGGGCCAAGGCAGGAAGGGTAGTTCAAGGGAGGACCTTGGGTTTAGAGCACAAGCCAGCCATATGCTTGCTCCAGCAATGCTGGGCCATCTGCTAGCAGAAGGCATAAGTGGCCCTGAACCCATGAGAGACCTTGTCCCTTTCTAAAGCAGGAGCAGTTCAGCTGCACAGGGCTGCGCAGCAGTCTAAAGTCTATCTCTAGGTGCAAGAAGGGCTTATGGGACATTTCAGCTGTATTCGTCTGTACAGAGAAGCCAAGTCTCACCAGTACTTCAGCACAGGGTGTCCAGATGCCTCCTAGCCACCAAGCTCAGAGCAGCAGGAAGCAGAAGGTTGATTAGTGTTCTCCCGGCTCAGCCATTAGTGAAGAGGTGGAAGGAGAATGTTCCCAGTGAACGGCAGAATCAGGAAATGTCTTGCCCAGAAACATCAAGTGCTCAGGGCACAAAGACATGGGTCAGAGGAAGGACACAGCCAGGCAGACACAGCCTGGGGGTGGGGAGCAGCAGGACACCCTGCCCCAGCCAGGATACTGTCCCAGCAAATCCCTTGCTACACCCCTACCCCATCCATCCATGTTCCAATCTACCTCCACAGCCCCAAACTCCTGGTCTGCAAGGCCAAAGGGACCAGGAGACCATCTCCAACACAGCATCATAGCTCTGGCAGCCTCAACCTCACACTGCTCCTTCCCCAGAGCAAGAAGCATCAGGGAGTCCCTGGGAGCCTCCTTGAGGCAAATCCAGCTCTTCCACCTCACACACACAAAGGCAGAGGCAGCTTCTCACTCCCTGTGCAAAGGGAGTCCCTCGTCTTAGCAGGAATCCACACACACCACAGCAAACCTCGAGCGACCAGTGTGCCCTTAGACTCTGGCCTCACCAGCCATGCTAATAAAACCTCACCACACTGACATGGCACTGCCTTGCCCAAAGTTAAGTGTTGCAAGGGGCACAGAGCCAACAGAATGGCAGATTTGTGCTCTTGAGGCCTGCATAACATGGACAAAAGCTGAGATGAAGAAAACGCTCCCAGAGGACTCCAACAGGCAAGTTGAATGCCTCTACAGACCTGACTTCAGGGCTGCCAGGGCCCATAGCAAGAGCAGCACTGCCAAGGCCTAGCTCTGCATGGCACAGCCAGCTTCAGGCCCATTGAGGGTTCAAGGCTACTTGGGATTCAAGGGTTTCAGTTCCTCTTAGCACTACCATTTTTCTGGGACCTGACTCTCCCTCACCTTTTCTGATATTCTGCTGCCTGCAATGCACACCCCTCCCTGCTCACTGTGCCCCAGGGGGACTGGGCTGCAGCTCTTCCATTCCCCACCCTGCAGGGCTATGGGAATCCCCCAGAAAGGGATGTGATGGGGCACGGGAGGGGACCCTGCACCTCACTCTCTTACCCAATGGCGATCACATCCACATCATTTGTCTCGCCAGTGTTGAGGTGCAGCAGGGATGTAACATCATTTGGGGGCATAGCTGTGCCCACGTTCCAGGTAACCACTGTGATGCTTGGGAAGACAAAGGAAGAACAGACTAAGACTGGGGTTCAGAGGTGTTCCCTGTCCCTCCCCGTTCAACCCTCAGCTCCACAAGGAAGCTCTCTGCCCACAGCTGAAATGGCCACAGCTGAACCTCAGCCAGGGCATGTACAGGAGATGGGTCCTTGCCTCTGAATTGCCCCATGATCTGCATCTTGGTGCAAGGTGAGCCCCACTATAACCCAGGCCCCTGTGAAATTCCAGAAACCAGCACAAAAGACCTCTTGCTTTCATCACCACTGACTGACACAGGCAGGCTAGCACAGCAGGCAGCCTGCCAGAGAGAGTCTCCCTCAAAAACCGCTTCCCCCCCCCTAGAAATCACACATCCCTGGGGCTCCTGGGGAAAAGCACCCAGTCTCAGCCCCAGACTCTGCCTAAGAGCTCAGCCAGTCCCAAAGGGCACTGCATGTGACAGCAGCGCTGCGAGCCCTGCAGCTGTGTCCTTCATCAGTGCAAAGCAACCATCAGTCGCAACATCCGTCGTGCTGTTACGCAGCACGCACCAGCAGCCCGCAGGCTCTTTCAGCAGCGCTAGGACAAGTCTCAGTCACAGGGGGCATGATTCAACAGCAAGGGAGGGTAGCGCCACATCGTTTCCAGAGTTGGTACCCACTTCACAGCCTGTGACGTGCCACCCCATGCACACTGCTTGCATGGACAGCAGGCACTTAGCATCCTTCCCCCACACTAAACCTATGTGTCCACAGCTCCTCACTCCAATCTCCTCCACGTGAACACCATTTACAGTAGGAAGAGAGGGGCGACTCCAGCCCCACAGGAGGCTGCACTTGCTGCTTCACAGCACTGTCAGCTTCGGCCCAGCATTGCTCCCGCTGCTTTTCCCCCCCGCAGCAACACCTGCTCACCGGAACGAACTGTCCTCCGGGCTCCTTCCCAAGCAGCCGAGTGCGTCACAGGAATCACCAGCATTTGGCAGGCCGAGGGACCTC